TAGGGAGGACACACTGTCTCATGTACATTTCAATCATGCAGACAGTATGCTCTTCCTGAGAGCAGAAGCCTTTGTTAATATCGTGCTTCACCTTAGTCAACCATATATCTTTTCTTTCATCCGGGATCTTCTTTCAAATGCTATGATTTCGTTTTCGTTAACTTACCATGATTATGTGTTCTTTTGTCAACGTTGATGTTATGTTTTATCTGAAACAAATCACATCTCATCCAAAATATTTCTATAATCTGTGGCTGGTACTTATTCGTCAGGCGTTTACATCATTTGTGGCTGGTACTTGTTCGTCAGGCGTTTACATCAGCTGTGGCGGGTACTTGTTCGTCAGGCGTTTATATCATCTGTGGCTGGTACTTGTTCGTTAGGCGTTTATATCACCTGTGGCTGGTACTTGTTCGTCAGGCGTTTACATCAACTGCTGTCGTCTGCTATGTTATCTCCTGTTGTAATTTGAATACTACTCAAGGGAGGACACACTGTCTCATGATAAGTTATACATGGAGCCAGAATGTCTTCCCCGGAGTTCAATTCTAAGTCTACTAGGCTCTTCATAGTTACTAACAATGCTGTAAAGCAATCTCCAATTATTCTGAAATGTTCCTGAAATAAAGAATGAGATAAAATTCAATATGTCATGTTGTATACATACCTGTCTATTGTTTAGGACTATGTTGACCTCTCGATGCCGTCTGTCTACTAGTATTTACGTTGTGTAACTGTCTCATTGGCGTATACGCTACACCTGCTGTACCTATTTATGTACAACATCTTCTAAAAATCTGGAATGACTACTCGCAATATTGATCCTTTCCTTCCAAAAATCAGTCATATCAAGTACACAAGAATGCTCAAATGAATATTTTGTTACAAAGATATATATCCTGTGTATATAGAAGTTACCAGAGTCAACAACTGAAGTTAGTGGTATGGATCTTTTAGCCGTTTATTCTTGACGACCTTTTTGAAGGGTCATTTTGTAGTATTTCACACATGTTTACACTCTACACGTCATTTTCTTCCCTATGATCTTGGCCTGAAATAGTTAGTCTCATTCTGTGCTCAACCTTGTATGTATCTGCTCATGTATATATACCTATTGTACATTGTTGTGCTCTTGTGTGGTATATTTACATAAATTAAAGTGTAGCGCACCAGTATTGTCCACCATTGTTTATATTTATCATATCATTATTGGCTTGTAAATAATATGTATTCTATTTTTCAATATTCTATGTGCGACTGCAGTAATTTATTATTTAATTAATATGTTGATTATTATTTATATATATATATATATTTCTATGATTAACCTATATTTGTTCTACTTGTTTCGTTTACAGTCGATAAATAAACAATTGTGCTGAAGCCAACAAGGTTATTATTTTCTATTGATTGGTTTATTGCATATATTTCTCCGATGTATGAACCCCTCAATAGCTCCCCTCCCCTTTTTTGTTTGCATAGCTTTCAATAAATAGTACGTTTCAATTTTATTTTATTTCTTTTGAAAGATTTTACAAATTTTCACTACTAGTGTATAAGTACACAAGATATATGAGGATATGACCAATCTATAGATCTGGTAAAAATGAAACCCTAAATATTACCTGCTGTTAATGTATCAATTACTTCGAGTATATAATTTTACGTTTGTATCTGCATTGCAATATCGTATAAAGGTCAAGATTTTGTATTACCCTATTACAAATGCCTAATAACATAAATCTAAATAAAATATTCAATGATGAGTGACATATGTCATTGCAAAAACTAAATACAAAACAAACAGAAATCATTTGCCTGCACTGAACCTCTCAACAACTCCAATTTGCGGTCGGCAACAATGTTCAGAAACTGTAACATATATCATCAAAATACCTTAAAGGGATGGTTTTGATTTCAATAACAATAAAATTATCGATGTAGAACAAGACGAGGACTAGCGCTTTGTCGCGTTAGTAGATATATATAGCAAAATTTTTATATTATTTTTCAGTATATGATGGGAGCCAACTGCAAAGGTTTTCCGAAGTCCAATGCCTCAAAAACAAAGAGTTAAACATTTCTGAAAATGCATATTATATATAATATGTGTGTAGAAACATGCTATGAAATGTTGCTTCCAATTAATGCCGTGTTTATAGTTAGGATCTTCTGCATGTTGCAAGACACCAATTGCACCTTTCATAAATTTCATATTTAGCGTTTTATCCTAAGTTTTTAAATGTTCTTATAATTTCATATTAGATGGAAATAAAAACATTTCAGTGTATCCGATTTTCCCCTTTCGATATTAAAAAGACTGACATGCCTATTATTATTTATCGGTTTATCTTAAACAATTTTTCATTTATGACAATTTTATAATGGCCCTTGAGAACGGGAGTACTTATCTACGGTTAAAATGTTAAATCAGCATATCACTGCTATGGGACCGAGTTAACACACTCATAAGAAGATGAACACTTTACCGACGGTACAATGGAGTGTTTTATTACTGACACTTAATATATTCAAATAAATTATAAACCTCCTATCATCTTGGTAAAAATAACAATTTAAATATTTATTGAAGACGGGTAGTTTTACGGCTATAAACAACAATTTATTTGACTTGTCCTCTTTGTATGAAAGCTATAATTATATTTCGTTAACTTGGTCGGAGTGCAAACGAGTAAAGGAAAATTCATATTTCATTGCTGTTATTTTTTTCAACCTTTTTTTCTTAAACTTGAAGCGTAGTTGTATCTTTAAAAAGTCAGTGATAAAATTCTAGTATGCTTTAGAGTGTGATTTCAGAAGCATTAAAGATAAATAAAAATGTTAGATACTTTTAACATTACGCTAAAATAAACATAAATTTTATGTATAAACCTGACATTTATTGAAAATTTTTTACATTTTTCTTACCTCTGTCTCGAATAATTATTTGACACAAAATGTTATACAATTTTCTAATGTCCACTTGTGTCCAGATAAAAATCGACATTGACTACTGATGAATTCAGATGAGATACTATATATAGTAGATGTTACTGACATACCCTGGAGGCAAACGCTAGCCTCTTGTTGTACATCATATCTAGACAGTTATGTGAGTCTTTAATAAAATTAACAGAACACATAACCGTTCATTTGTCCAGTTTCCTCACACCCCGACATGTCTAAACATGGAGAATTTGTCAAATGTACACATTTTATGTGTCTAGCTTGTCCATCTAACCGGTGACAACAGCAATAAAACAGATATATAAATTAATTTCATAGATATCAATTACATATGTGTTTGATGCAGTATCTTTACGTTTATCACGATACATATGTAATCAATCGTTTACTTAACATTTGATATTATTAAAAGAATAAGTATATAAAAAAGGTCATAAATAAATCGAATGAATAAAAAATAAAAAAAACATAATACCACACTTGTAGAATTTTCAGAAACAGTCCCCTCTTTCTTAAAGCAATATGGCGAATAGAATTACACCATAGATTTCCGTAACATTCAATCTCAAGCTCCAGCACAATCTTTCTTAAGAGGGGCAAAGTATATGAGACGTGTTCCATATCGTTCACAAGCTGGTGGTACAAAAATAATTGCGAAGATCAGACGAGTCATTGACATCACCATGTCGGGGGTTGAACCTACGACTCTCCCATTCGAGGCGAGCGCGCTATCGCGAAAACAAAGTGTCGGTTATAAACGTCAACGAGACGACAACAATACAATATACAAATAAGAATGTAGTTTTATCACAGTAACACTCCTGCTATGTTAAAAATGAATTAAAGAAGCTTTATAAAAAAGGCTGAAAAAATTAACATCATGCATTGACATATTACATCTTCCACTGTTAAATATACCTTTTGCATTAAGATAAGATACCCGGTAGTATATCTGTTTCATCCATCCTCCATTTTTTAAAATATACCGTGAAAATTGTAAAATAAAACATAGGTACCATTGATTATAGTTATAAATTCATGTGTGTAAAAACATTATTAAACACCTTTATAAGGCATTATAAAACATGGGATCATTTTTCTTCTTTTGACAAAGTGATTTCTGTTTTAATCCTTACAATATGAACAATAAAAAGTCAGGATGAATTCTAATGTTACAGTACCTGTGTTGCATCATGTTTCTTATTGTGCACTTTCTGTATAATGATTTTACGAAATTTTAAAACAGGATAGAAAAAGATACCAGAAACTTATGTCCCTAATCTTTTCACTATGGAGTAATAATATATGACACATACATAGAGAAATCTGAATAGAATATCTGTACATCTGCCTTTTTTCAAACACGTTGATTCAGATTATTTTAAACAGTATTTAATTTCCTTTTATAGAAGATGCCTTTTGTCAGTTGTTTTCCTTGTTTAAGTTTTTTGCGTCTTGATTGTCATTGTTTAAATGTATAAAACAAGAGGCGAAATATACCAAAGGGATATTCAAACTCATAAGCTGAAAACAAACTGACAATGTCATTGCAAAAACGAAAAACTACCAAAAGACAAACAAAGGTACACAAAACATAATATAGAAAGACTGAGCAACACGAACCCCACAAACAAACGGGGGTTATAAAATATGCTCCGGAAGGGTAAGCAGATCATGCTCCAAATATGACACCCGTCGTGTTGCTCAATTAAATACAAAATCGGTGACAAGTCTAATTCGGTAGGTCACATTCGAGGAAAAGAGGGCGGCATTGAGGTTAAAACAATTAGAACATGTCCGTCGGCATCTGTAAAACAGATATTCCATAGCGGTCAACCAACTCGTGATGGCGTCCGTAAACTTTTCAGTATCAGAAGCCTACATTTAATGAACCTCCCCGTTCCGACTGGACGTGGCCGCGTATTTATGTATCCCAAACAACCAAACGTTGCGCTTCTCAAAATGAATTTTGTTGCCGGACGGATGAAGTCCTGTTGACCATATTACTATATCCCTGTCGTACCGCAAGTCGATTTTCTTTTTTTTTTTTTCTTTTTTTTTTTCTTCTTTCTGTAGAAATTACATCACTTTATTTGATTGATTAAAGGCGTAGAATTCGTGCACGAGGAAAAATAATATTTAAGATCTTAGCGTAAATGTCATAAATATATATCGCTCTGATTTAAATTCAATTTCAAATTTATCAATATGTTTTTAAACAATATCAGTGTATTCAAGTCTGCAACGTATGCGTTTTCAAACTTTGTCATAGTTTCTTGTTTTAGTGCATGTATACTGTAACAACGTAAAAACACTTATAGAGTACTAATTTTTATCGTACGATTGCGCGTTTTATTTTATTTTTTTTCTCCTCAGAAATGGTCGTTACCATTGATAATGTACGTGTTGTGCTTAAAAAACAATGAAGGGGTTTATGGATCATACATTATACTTCACTGAAATAAATAAGATAAGTTGTCATTCTGTCACGTGTCATAAACAAAAACAATAGTACTGTCTTATTTAATTGTCAACAGGATGGTTAAGTTATGACGTTTCATCTTATCATAATGAACCTACATTAGTAGTTAAAAAATGTCCCGTCAGAAGTGCAACTTTCATATATACTTGAACACCTCAGCCGAAAAAATGAAGAGTTCTCTTCTCTTCTTTATTAAATCAACGTCAAGGTGAAAACATAATTAGGTGAAGCATCATTAAAAAAAATATCTTTATTTGAAGGTGATGTCAGTGACCCAAGCTTACTGTTTTATCTTGGAGAGTTTTGTAAGTAACTGAACTGGTTTTAATGAATCTTGAACTGCACTGGTATATTTTGTTTTCCAAGTTAGGGATAGCAACACACGCAATGAGCAAAACTATAAGAATTATATGTATGAAGTGTGTATACATTTTCTCTGAACCAATATACATTATTGTTTAGGGGCCAGCTAAAGCCCGCCTCCAGGTGCGGGATTTTCTCGCTGTGTTGAAGACCCATTGGTGGCCTTGAGCTGTTTTCTGCTCTTTGGTCGAGCTGTTGTCTCTTTGAAACATTCCCCGTTTCCATTCTCAATTTTATTTATAATTACAATCTAGGATTAAAAGGTTAACATTGTTAGAAATATTCTATTTTAACTCGTTCCTTAGAGAGATAAGATAATAACATGCACATGTAAATGTTTGTCGATGTTTTGTCGTTTGTACATGTTTGTAACGTGACAAAACACTTAGAGTGAACAAATATAATTTTTGAAAAGTTTATAATCAAAATATATGACGACTTTATTTAGTAACATATTTATAAAATTAAAATTGTATGTAAAATTAAATGTTTACATCATTTATATGTATTTCCTTATAACTGGTGATAGCATAAATATATAAAAGATATAAAAATGATATTAAAATTACCTGTTTATTCAACTTCTGTGTTTGTGTATCATGGTATGCTTCGTGTCTTTGAATAAAAACAAAATGAAATATAGAAATTTTGTTTACAAACATATGATTAATATATAGATGGTCACATCTAACGGATAAACGTACATACCTGAGTCGCTGATGAATTATCCGGAGGGTTTTCTAAATCCGGGACGGTCTTAAATTACTACAACGCCGGGGTTATAGTGTGTATTTAACTTAAATGTACATAATATAAATAAAATTATGAAGTATATAAATTAAACAGTTAAAGTTTGTATAAACAAATTCATAAATATGATTTGTTTGCAGTAAGTTTTATATTTTGCGTTTGAAAGTGTCACGTGACACATGTTCTATATAATGTCGTTTTATTTTACATCACCAAAGGGTATATCTAAATAAATATTTCTGGCTCTTTGCTTAAAAATGTTAAGAATTTTACTTCTATACATTATATATAGAGATGTCTACTTAGGTTTTTATTTTTGTTGAATATATACACTATATGTCTATTTCATCACGAATAATATATTTACGCGACACAAAGGAAACGACTCAAGGATTATCGGTTCTTTGTTACATACTAAACATTATGAAAACAGTTTTGATCCAAGAAAACAGACACAAATATAAAGTTCCAACTTCCTCATCTAAATGTAACAAACAGTATTGCATATTTTTTTATACTCCAAAGTTTATATTTTCCCACTTTTCCGAAAATTGTCATGCACGGTTCTAATTAAGTCACATTTAGCATAAAAATGAAGAGATGTTTATATAAAAATTAGGAGAAGTGGTATGATTGCCACCACCAAATTTCAAATGAGATGGATGTAAGTTATGAATGGCAAGGAGGCATCATGTTACACCAAAGACAGAGATATTAACAATAACAGGTCACCGTAATGATCATTCAACAATTAGCAAAAATCATGTAAGCTATAAATGGACCGACGCGGGATAACGTTAAAGTGTCCTCTTTTCAATAAATAAAACAAAGAAGTAAATGAAAATCGCACACAGACATGAACATATTGATAGTTTTGACCAGCACCTATTTATTTAAGGGAGATGTTCAGCGGAACAGTTACAGTAATACGCAGATTTTCTTCACCTTTTGTAAGCGTTAACAAAAGTGATCCATAAATTCAATTATTTACAAGACTTCACGAGTAATAAATTTACAACAGCCTTATGAAGATAGACAACGAACAAACATGTAAATTAAACAATTATCTTGGTCTTGCAAGCCCATTGGTAAACAACATACGTAAATTTAATAACAGTTTTGTACCGTAAATTAACGAGCATTTTATGCATTGTAAATTGTTTGTGATACATTTACACATAAGAAATGTGTTACAGGTGACATTTATGTTCGTCCTGACGTGCGGACCAACTGACATATTGGACTGTTACCTGACCAGATGGCGAGTAGAATGGCTTCCAGCTAATAGAAGCATTGACATTTATTTTGTCGTATTGACATACGAGTTTCATATTTTACACATTTAAATTTATTAAGGGATTACATTTTGCAAAACTTATATGATACCTTTAGAGTGTTCAGTAAAAATAAGAAAGAAGTAATATAATGATATAAATGCCTATCTAGTACATGTACTTGCAATGGCAACAATAACCTGCAGTTTATAGTAATACTTAATGTAATTTAAAATTTCCAAGGCGTATCATAAAAAGCACATCAACAAGGAAAATGCAAAACAATATGTCTAAACATAAATGTACTTTTTGTTCGGAAAATGTTGCATTTACCTCGCGGAAACGTCAATCAAGTCCTTACTATGTATGCTTCCACTTCAGCATGAAAAGGTTTTAAATGTAATTGTACAAAATTGCAGTGTATGCGAATCTGCTTCCGGTCCAAATAGAACTATCTTAAAAGTACCGTTTACACCCCTCTCCCTACAAATCACATGATTTCTTGTTCAACTTTTCCGGTTTAAGGGGAAATATTCAATTGATAATACATGTATTACAAAATACACTTTTCACCTTCTCATATCTAACTGTAGCATCAATCGTCACACCTCGTGCAAGATTTAAAGAAAATAGGCTTCAGGCAGAAAACCATTTGACAAAGAGAAATGAGAGATTGTATTTGTTTGTGACCCTGTAGCTACATATATTAATTACAAGTCAGAAGATACGAGGCCAGTAAGCTTCTCATTTTATGACTTTTGTAAATACCATATGTAGACTATCGTGTAATATAACTACAACTTATACATTTAAGTCATTTAACTCTTTAAATCTGGACTAAATAAGACGGAATATGCATGTTCACGCTCCCTGAGTGTTCACGATGGTTTCACTGTAGAAAGAAACGAAACCATTTTAAATCTATCTTATGCAAGGGATCAGTTTGATTGATAAAACAATTCACCTTTTCTAGGTTGGGCTTCTGATAGGACAATGGGAAATCAATATCAAAATCAGATGTTCATATTTTTGTTATAGATTGTGATGTTTATATCTCATTATACAATATGATATAATGTTACACAATGCACATGCAGGTATCTGCATTCTATCGAGGTTACACGTGTAATTAAGAGTGCGTTCATTATCTCGTTCACCGTCTACTTTTTGTTTGAAACTTGACAGCTCAGAGTTTAGTAGTCAAAAGGGTATATAGAATCGCATTATATTTTTTCTTTGTACCAGTTGCCTCAGAGTTAAAGTGGTCAAGTGAAAAAAAGAGTTGCATTATTTTTTTGTACGTCTTGAGATTTTTTCAATTACAAAAGTACTGTATCGGATTAATTGCGATACGTGACAGTGCATTGTCTATTGGCGTCTCTTTTAAGAATGTATTATACAGAAGAAATATTAAAAGGTGTTTTATAATGGTTTCATATGCATATTTTTACAGTTGAAATATAAACTGTTGCATAATATTGAGGGCAGTGAATTGCCGGACATTTTTCATAATCACATAATTTTGGTTTTGGATTAGAATTATCTCCCCCTGAATTTAATTGATAGTTAAATCAAACACTGGAATGTGTAGTCGACATTTAAAACTGCATGTTAGATAAATCACACATCTTCGTATTATCTTAGATCCGTTCTGTTAAATATTGCATGGCGTTAATGGTTTCTTAACATTCCAACATGTGCTACATCCTCAACTCTGGCATTTGTCTAGATAAAAAGATGATACACGCGGATAAAAGAAAGAATTATACATAATTTAAAGATATTAAATTAACCGTTGTGAGAAATTATTTAATAATAGCCTTTTATATAAAAATAAGAAGATGTGGTATGATAGACAATGAGACAACTCTCCACAAGAGACAAAATGACGTAGAAGTTAACAACTATAGGTCATCGTAAAACCTCCAACATTGAGTAAAACCCTTAACACATAGTAGGCTATAAAAGGCCCCGAAATGAACAATGTAAAACAATTCAAACGAGAAAACTATAACGGCCTGATTTATATACAAAACAATAAACGAAAAACCAAAGGCAATACAGCAACAAACAACAACCTCGGGAGAGGCACATGCAGAATGTGGCGGGGTTTAACATGATACTTGGCCCCCAACCCTTCCATAACCTTGGAAAGTGGTGTAAAAGTACAACTAAAGAACAAAGTATAAAAATAATTGAAAAGGGCTTTACTCGTAAGACTGATACAAAGCAAAAGTACAACTAACAAAAATACTAAAGACACATAGAGTAGATCAAAGAGTACTCGCAGTTACTGAAAGCTAGTTCAAAGCCAATACCAACTAATAAAATAGATCATGTATCCAAGACTTAAATATTAATCAATACACGTCCAACATACAATGGATTTAGTGTAAAGACGTCATTAACAGTCAGAGAAAACATGATCTTGAATAATGCCAAAATATAGATATCGACAGACCGTGAAAGTTCATATGTGTATTATATGCAAACTCTGTATATATTTTCTATAAGCAACTTTTTAATATTAACCTATTGAAATATCGAAGTTAATCATGTGATAGGAGTATGAGTATATGCTTTTAAGTATATGCTTAAAAGATCAGTGTTCTTCCATCAATTTCAGCTTCAAATGTCTGTGAAATGATCACAATTATAAAGAACTATCTACCGCGCCAAGATAAACTTAAAACACGTTAGAGATACGTCCAAAGAATTAAAATCGCTGATTCTAGCTTTGATATCTAATTATTCCTAAGATTGTCTCAAGTTATCCAGTTTTTCTTTCTCCAAAACACCACGGTATAGGGAATTAATATTTGTCCCTATCAATAAACATGCAGAGATACATGTACGTGCCATGTATGACAATCATGACGATTTTAAATTTCAGGTTTTTTATTTCCTCTTTTCTATTTGGCAATATAACTTCGCGTTCTGTATTTTTTTTATAATCCAAATCAGTATCATTGTACAGTCATTTTTTGATAACCGAATTAGTGTTTGATCAATTATTGGTAATTCCAGTTCGTGGTCTTTTTTATAAAATACAAGTGCTTGAAGATTTAGTATTGTTTTATATTTCAGTCTGCTATTCGTGGTCATACATATGTATTGTTCTTTGTATTGACTTTGTCTGAATCTGCAATAATGGTCATGAAAATAAACTTTATAGATAAGGTGCTTTCGAATGGCCTTTCTGGATTTACTTTCATCAGGAACGCCCAATCCATAATATTTGAAAACCAGGGATTGATAAATACATGAATACGTGAGGAGTCACGTGATTTAAAAGGACGTAAAATAATAATCAAAATCTATCTAAGGTCAACTTTGAATGATGGAGTTGAAAACTCAGTTTCTTAATAATTTCTTCATTTATTGACAGAGAGTTTCAAAACGTTTGTTTTAAATCATGTCAGTAATGTTAGTTATTGGTTAGACATTCAGGTATCAGAAACTACGAGACATACCGTTCAAAACCAAATTAGAATTGACAAATAATTAACTGTACAGTTCTGACACCAGACTCCCGTACCAGTTCTGGCCAATATAATATGAACAGATTGGTATTTACTATTATAATTTTTTAAAGGCAAACCGTATTATTTACAGATAAATAGATCAACTGAAAAAAATACGATCATGATTAGAAACTCCTCATAAAATGCCTATAATACATGTATATATACAATCAGGACAATATCGCTATATATGTTTTACATAAACAATATGCAAAAGGGGAGGGGGGGTCCGGGGGTTGGAACCCCCCTTTTTTGACGATCAATGCATTTGAATGGGGACATTAAGTTGGAACCCCCCCCTTTTTATCCTGGGTTAGGACCCCCCCCCCCCCCTTGTATAAATGGCTGGATCCGCCCCTGCATCTGTAATTCGTAACCAAAAGTTCAGTCAATTCAACTAATCATTTGAAAAATAATGGAAACAAGAACGCATATTAACCAAAACGAAGGAGAGAGACATCAAGAGGACAACCAAAAACCAGTAGTCTAATATAATCAGACAAGACCATGGTCAAAAAGGTATAGACGACGAGAATACAATAAATGGGGAATGTGTCCATGGGACACAGATGATGCCCCCGCTTACATATCATATAAAGTTATAAAGGGACATAACCAAAGAACATTTAAAGTGACTCTACCCAAATTTGTACTTGATCTGAGTTTTGTGGTAATAAGTTTTGTGTATAAGTTTCATAACATTTGGTTGATGCAAACTTACGTTAGAGAACGGTAACGAAAAATTCAGCATTTTTTTCATTTGTAAACGAGCATAACTCTGGAACGGTTAAAGTGACACCACCAAAATTCAAACTTGATCTGTATTTTGTGGTAATAAGCATTGCTTATAAGTTTCATAACATTTGGTTGATGCAAACTAAAGTAAGAGAACGGAAACGAAAAATTCAGCAATTTTTCCATTTGTAAAGGGGCATAACTCTCGAACGGTTAAAGCGAAAGTTAGAGAACGGAAACCAACTTTGGGACGTACGGCCGTACGGACGGACGGACGTACAGACAGACAAGGGTAAAACTTAATGCCCCCTCCGCCACGGCGGGGTCATGAAAATTGTCTACAGAACGCTAGAGAGAAAACTATTTGAACGATTGAGCAACACGATCCCTGCCTACAGCCGGGGATGAACCTGTGTGTTCCGGAAGGGTAAGCAATTCCTGCTGCATTAGCGGCAACCATTTTCCTACTCATTACAAGTAAAAGTGTTGTGAAAAGAAGTATTCGGTGATGTAACAATTGAGGAAAAGACAATGGGGTTGTGGCTTCGACAAGTGGAACATATCCGTTGTCACCTATTACACAGGTATTCCACAAGGGCAAACATCTGTAAACATTTCAACGAGATGACTTCAACTTAACCATTTGGAACCAAAGTTTTGTTTAAGTGTGAGGTTATATCTCTAAATATCAAACAGACTGGATCAAAATGCAAGTTAGAACGTTTAAGTCGGCTCAGACTTTAGTTTTCTTTGTAGTGATTTGTGAACTTGTTTTGTCTTTTCGTCGTTTTTCTGACTTACAAGTTTTTAAAGGCCTTTGGTATTTTCCGATCCTTTTTTTAGAACTGACAAGTACTCTCAATTGACTGTTTTACCAAGCCTGAAGTTGAACTATAAAAATTATGTGAAAACTAGTCCTGGAGGCTTTGGACTGACAGACTTCAGCACATATATCACTCTTCGCTTGAAAAAGGTTGCATTTCAAAATGAATACTTTGTATACATCGAAAAAAGGGGTTTACTGATAGTTTTTTTTGAGTTAATACTATGTTCCATTTGTCTCATTTAGTAAATATCTAGGATTGAATTAAGTATCGTCCGTTGTCTTTGTATTACCTTGAAATCAATGATGCATCAAATATGGTACAACTATCATGTGTTTAATAATATACATAATGTAGAACTACTGACGACGACTCGCTTCGTTCATAAGAATGAATAATAAAATGCATATAAAGATGTCCTTCTCAGTTCAAGGCATCTCATTTTCATGCGATTTTTAAATGCTGACATCGACCATTATATGGATCATAAATCATTGAAATTTCACCCCACTACCTTAGACTTAATATGTTTTTAAATATTTGAAGATAAATATTTCAACTTACATCAGGACAGGTAGCGTGTTTAGGCCAAAGTTAGATATGTTTAGTTGACGGTTAAGATCTTCCTTTAACCTCAACTTTTTCTGAATAAGAAATAAAAATTCAATGTTGACTGACTGACAAAATCATATCACACAAAATAATGATTATTTTAGAAAAAAGTTTCAGACAGCATTGTCTTTGTGCATTAGTTTATAGTACATTATGTTACAAACATACAGGTGATTGTCGCCTTTTCCTAGTCAATTGCTTCCAGTCAGGCAATTTTACTACTTCTCGTGTTCATTTTTGTCTAATAGAACTTAATATTTTAATACTTCGTGAAATATATTAAAAGTTTGGTGTAGAATAACAGGTTATAATGTAAATGCAGCAACCACCTAAAATAACAATATGTATAGTTTGAAATTTTAAAAAAATAGAAAAAAATATATTTATTTTGTATTCCAAAATGTGTGAGCTAAACTTTCCAACCTTTGACCTTTTTGATTTTGCACTATTATATGTAGCTTAGCTTTCTATTAAAAAAGATTGCTTATATCCACTTTGTTTCAACTTTGGTGGATAGTTGTCTCGTTGGCAATCATACCACATCTCCTTATTTTTATATTACTTGGTGATTTTCGAAAAAAAGAATAATTAATCAGTGCTTTTTCTATAATTATGCAATGAATTAACCAAAAGATCACATAATGCACTGGTAGCCGTGTTCATATGCTCCTTGGTATGGGTTCTAATGTACATAATGAAGGCTACATGTATCACAGAAACACCGACGCGAACGGTAATTGCTGGATATGTACAACTACATGTAGAATGCATGTGTCGTAACAGTGATGACGGTCCTCATTCTCGTTGTGGCATTATTTTTACATATATAGAATTAAATTTCAAATGTGTAATTCAATCTTACTAGCAAATTTAAAGTTTTGTACCAATTTTATGAGTGATTATTTTAAATGTGGTATCTGAAACTACATTAATATATCACAAAATGATGTAGGATTTTACAAAAGGTAGGAGGTTTAGGTAAACAAAATAAAAATTCAAAATTTCTGTTTCTATGGCAATTCAAAACTTTACTTTAACAACCTCAAAGACAAAGTTTAATATGAAATATCTTTATGCCAAATAATCTAAGTAAATCTAAACAACTCACACCTTCACAGATATGATATATCTTCTTAAATTTTAAATATATGTTTTAAGGCTACATAAGTCTTTTATCATCATACACCACGTATATCGGGATCAAAGTAGGTAAATAAAGTTTAACCCACAAAATTTGCCCTCATCTGAATTTTAGATTTCACTACCACATTCCAAAGACATTCCAAGTCACTGTAAAATTTGACAGGGATTTTTGGGTTACGTAGACGCTTTATTTGCAAGATGATAATGATTACGACGCATTGTTTTATTTGCGATAAAAACACACATCATCTGGAAATAATATACTAATGAAGTTGGCACGTGTTCCTTTATTGTAATATAATGCACATGCAACAGGCATGCTGTATTTTTTCATTTCTTGAATAAAATAATCATTTCAAGTAATTATTTTTTTTATACATAGTGTTTAAAATTGCTGCACAACGTAACGATAATGTCAGTTTGCTATGAAAAAAATATATTAAGAAATAGTTTGCAATTAGTGTTATTACCATGTCTGAAGCTTTTTGCAATTGAATAAATAACTTCGGAATGTAACAATCGTAAAATTTGGTACGGAATTCCTTACCGATAAGTAAGTCAACTTTCGTCGTATATTATTTCTAACTTTAATACCGTACACACATTAAACTTGAACACTAAACTAAACCAAAGAATCAACATTCAACTCTCAATTCAAAAAAAGTTATTTAAAGTATTTATATTGACACACTTACCTGATTTAAATTCATTCACTTTCTTTAAAGGATCCCTTAATGCGTAGAGAGATAACATTAAAAGTGAAAATATTCCTCATCATGTCGATGTGCGCTACTGTCCATCTCAACGGCGACTGTAACATTTTATTCATTCAGCGACTATTATTTACCGTGACGGAGTTTCACATTACTTATAAAAATGTCATCAAGAAATAGAAACCGGTGTATCACATTCTTCAAACGGATGGTCATTATTGTTAATAAATAATGTACTAAATAATAAAAAGTTTTTATAAATTTTTCTTACGTGTATTTATTTTGAGTCAATAATCCTCTTGGGTGATTTCCAGATTAAAAGAGTGTCCAAATTTGCATCAATTTCTGTTTTTATACGCAGGTGTGTTAAAGTTGAACACCCCGAGGGATCTCACTGTATTCATATCTTATGTCTCTTTTCTACTCCACTTACATATTTCTTCTAACTATAACATGATATAAATTCTTTAACTGCATGAATAAACTTGGACAATTCGTATAACCTGGATCGTTTTTCATTAACATCTTCTTAATAAAAAGTTAAGGAGATATCGCGTAGCTCTTTCTTAACTCTTTAATTGAAGTGAAACTATCATTTCAACGTAACCTAAACACGAAAATATCTATAATGTTAAATCACATCCTTTGATATAGAGATAGGAATACCTTAATCACGTGATGAGAAATCAACATCCATAACACGTGGCATTAGTTTATCTCTCTATTGTTTTAGACAAACATAATATTAGTTTAGTGCTTTCATTTGCGCATCTAACTGTGCTTAACAAAACACATGTATTGTGTTATATAAATGCGTTAATTAAGCATTTTTTGCTTTTATCTTTGGTATATACGTCTAACGACAAATAATTCACATTTTTTTTTCTGGAATTGTCATCTCATTTTTTAGTATTTAATTTTTATTATTTTTTTTGGCTAGTTACTAGTAATAATTTCATGACAGTGATAATGTCGTATCTGGACATTTTACTATTTGAGTCCAAGCATAAAAAAGAAAAAAATAACGCTATATAAATGTGTTGCACCTGAAACGTTTTTTTCTGGATTTGCCGTCATCAGGAACTCTCATACCCGAAAAGTTAAAAGCCAAGGATGTATAACTACATAACCACGCGTAGAGCTATGCGACATCACATTTCACATTCTGTAATTGATCGCACAGTCCCCTCGAGAAAAGTTAACCATGCACAGTATGTTGCAGGTATTCTTTTAAGTCTATTTTGTTCCTAACTCACCATTGTACCAAACTACTTTTTTTTTATAAGAATTGGTGGTTTCACACTCAATGGGAATGTTCTACGGTACACGATGGGGAAGTCTAGTCTGATTTTGTGAGATCTTCCCGTCTTATTACATGTGATGTCCTTACGTTTGATTCATATCGTTCCTGATAAAAGTTAATCCGGAAATATGCATCGGTCTCAGCAAAATTAGTATGTTTTCCTTCGATGTCATTTAAAACAATGTTACTAGGAAACAAGGAACGTACTACTTTTGTGTAGATACCACTCGGTGGATAGTTGTGGGAACATATTGTTTGTTTTCAATGGTATAATATTGAACTATTTTGAATAAAAAATGATAAATTGAATGATAGTAGATTCATTCCAGTATAGCATATACAAAGTAGCATAAACAAAATGACCAATTCGGTTCTGAATGAAACCCACTGCTTCGTCGGTCTCGTGATAGTGTACTCGACCTGTGGTTTTTGCTTCGATCAACGGCAGGGGTCAAACCAAAGTCCTGAAAATTGGTATATGCAGCTTATCCGTTTACCACCTTGCGTGACATTTAGGAGCAGGAGCAAAGAATGGTAGGCTCAGCGTCAGGTAAGGTGACATGATCTTCTTGTAGACTGTTACCTTGTTATCTAGCACGTAAAATATCCGGCTCATTATGTTGATCCATTACAAGACAGGGTTTATAATCAATTCATAACAACATGTCGTCGTGCCAATTTGCATATTATATTTGCTACTGGACGTTGAACAAAATCCATCCATCTAAAGAGACCCTAAGCAAAGTTCTAGTTATCAACCAAAAATATGTATGGTTAAAAGTATTTTTAGTGCAAAGTGATTGATGGACTGATTTGGTGCTGGCGTAACGTCCAATGGAAAATATTAGATGCATATTTAGGACAAGACCAAATTAGTCAATACAATACGTAGAGTTTTGCTAGGTAGGTTGACAGAGATGAAATTTTTGCCTGCCTCTGAAAAATAATGGACAGGACATAAGTATTGAAATGAAACAGGAAATCTAGGGACCCCTCTTAAAATTTGTTTCAAGTTATAAGGTTCTTAAATGTGCAGATTGAGTGACTCTCTACATACATGAGACATCGCATTCCGACTGAAAGTGGCTGTGTATATATACATCCCGGACAGCCAGATGAACACCCCACATTAGCAAGGATTTTCATTGTCGTACGAGAAAAGTTCAGGGCTGGTCATATTTCTATTGTTCATTTCAAAAGTGCCGTCAGTGTAAGAAATAAAACAGTGTCTCACCAATTGCTTTTGAAGAGATGATTCCCAACATTTTTTATATACTTGTAAGTTTTGTGCATTTATCATTCCCATTCCCATTTCTTTGAATACAACACTTTAATGTTCTTGTCGATACCAATTCTGTAAAACCTCGATGTGCTACTTTCTGTTTGCCTATTATATCTTTGAAATGTTTAGCACATATGTGAAATTGTCCTCAGATTAGCTTACAGTACACCAGGTTTTACATATAAGCTAAGAAAGTCCTGCACTGTTCTTTAGTTTGTAGGGCAGAATATTAATTTCCAAAAACATTTCGTACCCCACCCAACTATCAAATGGTAAACCCCTTTTCTTTTCATAACCTTATGAAGAGCATTTTCCTGTTAAGTGTTTAAAAAATCCAATAGCTGCATATTCGAGTATTTTATCCCTCCTGTATATATATATATATATATATGCTCAGTGGATAAAAAAAAAACAAAAAATGCTTCTCAAAACAGTAAACATTGCTTTAGATCAAATCTTACATGATGTCTTGATCATACGAAGAGCATGAAAATCGAAAAAACCAAAAAACATAACAGACACAACTGCCTATGACTCGTCCAAGTCTTAAAGTAAGTCCTCTATCATACTCTACGAAATATTCCATCCGATTCCTCTTAGATCAAATCACCCACCACCTTAAGTTAGTCTCTATCATACTCGGTGCACGAACAAAAAGAAAAAGAAGATAAAAAGTAGGCAATAAAGAATCCAAAAGTCAAATAAAAACCTGCTATTCAATGGCCGAAGAGAAAAATGTCGTAAAGATAACAATGACAAAAAACTAAACAGAATTCTAAAGAATAAGAAAAACGAACCCCATGCAAAAAAAAACAGGGGTTAACAAAAGGACAATTCCTGCTCCGTCTGTCGTGTTACTCGTTGCAAGTGAATACATGATAAACAAGTGTCCAAATCGCCAATGATCCACTCTTTCATATCCTAAACTAAGACATCTATCATGTCCCAAGCATAATATTCAGGGCATGAACATCTAAAACTACTGAACAAAACAGTCAACTCTACTAATAACAAGCTTATAACTAGCCTGATTGAGCAGTATTCTACTAGTATAAACCAATACTATAAAGAGCAATTCAATTGAAAACTATCATTTGAAAATGCCATTGCTGAACCACTGTACACTATGTGGGTGCAGTTTGATATATCGATTGATTGCTGTTTACTTAACGTCTAGTGGCAAATATTACATGCATATTCAGAACGAGAATAAATTAACAATAAATCCAATAGGTAAGTTCTGCACAATGAAAATAACTTGATAAAATAATATCCAAGATCATCCAAGGATGCAAAGCGGTTCACTAGACAAGAAGAATATGTTACGACAGAAATTTTGCCTTGCAACAAGCCACATTCGGACCCTTAAACCTTCTAGTTTAAATGCAGAGAGCATGACAACTTTTCTATACGATAAATCGAATTTTTCGACTGGAAGGGGCTGCATAATTATACATCCTGCACAGCTACACAGATGTCTCTATGCTGATTTTTAACCCAATTCATCAACCATTGGATGTTAATTATTCGATAACTAAAAAGTATAACATACAGAATCTATAAATTGAGAAATGTACAAGTGAATGTTTTGATGTAATGTACACAAAAGCAAACAACAGACACAAGATGAAGGACAATATTACTAATGTATAACAGCGTAAATAAGGAAGTTACAGTTCTGAGGTTGAGTTGAGACAAACAGGGTCTGAAAACGAGACCTGACATCTTCGACAACAGTTAATTTTGAAATGCACGTCTTGACTGCCTTTCAAAGCTTGGATGTTGATGTAATCCTGCTTGTTATGAGTATCATACAAATCATATAAAGTGTCTAAAATTAACATTGGAGGAGGGACATTGTTGTATAGTAGATAATATATAACTGATTACAAAGATAAAAATAATTTTTTTATCTATTTCTTTTGATTCTCGAATTGAAATATTACTCCATCCAAAATATTATTTTTTGCTTAAGAAGCAACACCTATATATATACCGATCCGCTGGAGGGATATTTACCCACATTTTAACATGTATCAACCATATACTCGATTTTAAAGTTATTCAACTTTCTAATATGGCAAAAAAAGTTTAAGTTAGTCGTCATGCTACTAAATAATTTAACGGCATTATATTTGTCCAAAGTCGCTTTCAAAGGACTTTATATTGTTTGACATTGTGACCATTAGTTTCATTGAGTAATATTCCTACCACACAGAGCACTCAAAGCTTTCTATACCGAACGGAAGAATTAAAAGCTATATATCCAGTCCTAAGCATACTGTGATAGATATAGGAAGATGTGGTATGAGTGCCAATGAGACAACTCTCCATCCAAGTTACAATTTATAAAAGTAAACCATTATAGGTCAAGGTACGGCCTTCAACACGAATGGATTCAAATGATCGATTATACGCATACTTTGATGTTCTTTATAAGAATCGATTCAAATGATCGATTATGAGCATACTTTGATGTTCTTTATAAGAATCGATTCAAATG